CATAAACGGGGACTTGCCTGTGGTTGACTGCGTGGAAGCACGATGAGCTAACAACACCATTGGCAAGTTCATTTCCCAGTCACCTATTTTGGCCGCAAGCCACTCCTTGATCGTTCGGTTATTACGTTCGGTCAGGCCATCCTTAGCTGCATGCCATCCTTAGCCGTCTGATACCCACCTTCTCAAGCAATGACAACAACGGCAGGGTGCGCTAACCAAACGGACAACACGGTTAGCTGATTGACTGCTGCTGCAACGGCATTCCGCCCTCATTCCAGCAACCTTGGTTTCGAAAGCCGTTCTTTGATGCACCCGAAGGAAGCATATTACGGCCCGCAGTTTCAGTAAGGTGGTCATGCCTACCGTCAGCGTCCCGAATTTCGAGAACGAAGATTTATTGAGTGCAAGACTCATATCGTTCATGACCAGTAATGAGCATGCGTCAGTTGGATATGAACCCAACACGACAACCGGGACTAAATATGTGAACTCTAATTTCAATACATCAGGCTGTGCTCTAACTGACTCAGATGTGCATGGATCTAATGTTGTCATTCGTTCTCCTTTACACCGAAATGGGTCGACACCAACTATGGTCACTTTACAAGACCGCCTCCTCAATGGATCCCCTACTGATGTTTTGGCATCAACTCATTCAACGGGCTACGTGTCCGGATCGTGCACTCCACCACCTGTCCACACACTTCCCGGTGCCTCTGGAAATTTTATCCCTCTTCGCAACCATAACGGTGCCCCTCCCTACTCGGCCCTAACCTCCCCGTGCCTCAGCAGCAAGTTAAATCCTGGTGCAAATGTTCAGCAATTGTTGGCATATGGCAACAGTTCGGTACCTGGCGAGTGCCACAGTCTACAGAACTCGCCGTTTTATCATCACTATCCTCTCAACGGCAATCTTCAGAACCAAATTCATCGACAGCTCGGTGGAATGTCTCCCGGTCCTGTGGGAACTATGATTCCCAATGGAGTCAGTTCAGGAATACAAAGTATTGGAACACCTCGCTCCGGTCTGTATCAGGACACTGCGTTTCCAATGGGAAATAATTTTCGTCCACTAAACGGTAGTGCTGCTCCTGGGTGTCCACAGCGGGAGTTATTCCCTTCTGCTAATCCGTCCTCAGCTCCAAATCAGAGTTTATTTGGCTCTGGTCTCTTGATTCAGGATCGCCTTCACTACTATGCGCTAGCCCAGAAACATGGCTACATTGTGGGTGCTGAGTTGGAGAGGGTCAAAGAAAATTCCTGCCGTTCTACCAGTCAGTCATATGGACGTATCGCGGCCCACTTTCGGCATCGTTATGGTGAGACCGAAGCGAAAACCAAGGCAGCTTATTTACAGATTGGGGTTCGTGTGCCTAGCAAGGATCATGTCTCTGAAATCGTCGGAAAAGGGGGTGAGTCAATGTTAGAATGTTTTAGTTTGAAAGTGACTTCATTGATTACCCGTCTTTGGGTACCACTTGCTTGACCGCAAGAATTTCTGTGCAAGATTTGGTATCGCGTTGCTTTGTGAAGCCTCGCGCGTACACCTCACTAACCTAAGATGTGGATTGACGAGTAGTTGAGTGTTCAGTCACTCAGTTCGTTTTGAGATACTGGCTCTCAGTAATATTCCGATTCTTAACAAGGAGTTGTTTTCCCTAGAGCAGCCGGTTGGGGGGGGGGGGGTGCATGGTATCTTGTGTAATCTGGTTAATATAGTATGAGTCACCCCGCTTTCATTAACCAATCCATAACTTTGTCGACAACTTCGTCGCCGGTCTATTATTGCAAAGGGTTTGAGGAACGTTGAGCTCGGTCTCCGTTTCCATAGCCTAATAGCCGTTACCAGTATTACCTCCGAAGACCACGTGACCGATCTCACCTAAACCGTTTCATAACAAATCAGACTGGCTACACGCATGAATGGGCTGCGCTTTGTCCGACCACGGAATAGTAAGCCGCAGGGCTCTGCGATGGCATGTAAATAGGGTTCGTAGGAAGGTCCTTTTTGACGGTTAAGTCTCAGTTCACTGAAAACTTACACGGGCGAATATAAACCATCCTGATTTGATAGTAGTAAGCATAAGCAAATATGTATGTATGATAAACCAATAGCATACTGACTAAACACGATTCCTCAATAACATGATTGCCCCCCACCATTTCTCTCCTGTCCGAATTCGCTTCATCTTTCTGTAGCTTCCCATCACCGTTTCCTTGAGAAACGCTGCGTGGAATAGTTTCAAGGTCACAACATTCATTCGCGATGCACAAATACATTGCAATCAAAAGGCAACACGAGAGTTAGGATAAAACCAAGTCACTCGGGCTTCGACAAGGTTCAGTTATATTTCAGTGAGGTTTTCGCACCACCCCAACGGCACCGCAGATAGAACGCTCTGTCGGCTCCTGGCGCGCGCTTGTATTCCTTCAAAACTGGGTTGCTTTAATTTGGTTCATTTTGGTGATCTATTAGAGACCATCTTCAATCAACTAAGCTATTGAGTAGACAAATCCGAGATAATATTGCTGCGACATCGTTGACGTTTCTGCTGCCAACTGTACTTCTGATAGATCAGGTACCTTCGTTCACCTAGAGGCAGTAATCTATCCCGCTAATTTGCAACAATTATAACGTGGAAAATGCGTCCATTTCTATAGGTTTCAGCAGTTATTAGTTTGAGTCTACAGTCCGTGTTTTACTGCTTTGCGGTTAAAGATCTGAGTTGATTTCAAATCTCTGAAGGTTTCAGAACTGCAACACATGTTGACTGGTTTCAGCGAATTCGTAGTGATTTGATTGGAAAACGGATGTCTTAGAAACGCACTTAAAATCAGCTGAAGTGCGTCGGTGATGTGTTGTCTATGTCAAGTTATTGCCCCCTGAAATGAAATTTGTTTTGAGGGGACGTAGGTCAAAAACGAGGAAAGAAGTTTGCGAAAACGCTTATATCCGTCGGTTCTGTTTGTATTACAGTATGAAGTCAAAATGATCTTTCTTGTACGCTTCAGGGTATGACTACGAGCCTATGTCAGCTTGTTTGAACGACTGATAAGTCAACAGCAGGCTCTCTTCCATGCAGCTATTGTACGGCTCTGAAGTACCGCTGTCATAGACCCACGTTACTGAGGGTGATGATGAGCTTCGTTCATATTGAACTGCCAGTTTACCGATAAACAACCATCTTACGTGCTGGACAGTCAAACGTCCACTCCACGGAACTGACGTCATCCGCCATAATTTAATATTCCCACAACGGGGATAACTTCTATTCTGTTATCTGTGGTTTAGATAGGGGGTGTGATGGCTCTACTGAATGTCTGTGGATCGAACCCGACCTCTAGCTCTCGACTTTTCCTGTCTAGACTTGGGTGACCCGGCAGTATCCCAGTCCTCGTGCTTCCTTCGGGTGGCATGGCAGTTAGGCAACGAAAGGGCGCTACAGCTGAATTATGATGGTTTAGGTACACTGAATGTCTCGAATTGTAGTTCGGTGGGTTTGATTTTGAGTTGAACATATGTCTGATTTACGATCACACATTCATGCCATAGGTAAAGTTAATATTCCTCAACCGATCGGTTTCTCTGGCGATTTTTGGTTCGTAGGTTGAGTTCACCCCAAACCCTGGTGATGAAACCACCGGGGATGAATTCCTGCCTCTTTGGAGCCGTTCTGTACCTTGGGACATACACTCTTCGGGCATACTATCTTTCGTGGACATTGATGTTTTGTACTAGTGAATTGTTTCTAGAAAAATGCTGGATGAACCCTTGCAGTGCTGAGCACGCTGTGGTGGGGTCGCATAAATTTATCTGGTGCCCGCACCTTGTGCTCATGTAGCATATTATCTCTCAACGTAATACTCTGCTTTCGTCTAAGAATCGTGTTCACGAAAGCTAGTTGAAGTGTCCCAGTGATCCAAGTTTCATGTTACTGCAGATCGTGGCAGCTGTGTTCGTATTGCATGGAGTTGCATTAATGGGTTGAGCGTTGTTTTGTTTCCCTCCTGTTTTGTGGAATGTCCGGTCACATTTTCACTTAGGTCTCCGTTGTCTTTTTGTTGTACTATCTTCCCGATTACTGTTTTTATGCCTTTAACTAGTCAACTGGAACTCGATTGAACAAAATTTCGTTACAAAACGTCTGAGAATAAATGTTTGGTCCTCTGTGTATTTTCTTTGGGAGACGTTTGATTGATTTCCCTCAGACTTCTAAACAATCAATTTACGCCCGTGAGAAGCCGTCTTCTTGTGATGATAAATAATAATCATTCACCTGTAACATCCATTCGGCGCCTGGCAGATACTGTCAGTTTGTTGAAGCACAGACAGGAGCAGTCGAGGTACTGGGGTCGGGTCTGCCTCCCCGTGGAACACTTATGAAGCAATTTTTCTGCCCCTAAAAACGAGATGGAGTTATTCTATACTTGAAATTGTTTGAAGAACATGGCCACTCATGTAAACGCAGAGGTAGGAACACGGCAACTGAATTATACTTCTGTTGATTTAAATTTCAACTTGCGGTCATTTTTCCACTTGCCCTCATGTGTGTCCAAAGCCCAGTGGGGCGAGATGGACCAAGTAGTTAGAGCGCGAATTCACTGACCGGAAGGTCTGTGGTTCGAATCTGAGCTCTGCCTCTCGACGTCCCCTGCCTAGACTTTGGCAACTTGACAGTGTCCTAGCTCTCGGGCTTATTTCGGGTGGCATGGCAGTTAGTAACCTGGAGGGTGCTACATCTGAAAGATTTGATTTTTTAATTTACTCTTCGACTCCTACAGTTGCCGAAATAGAATAATCGAGTTTTAGAAGCATCAGATGGTGCTCAGATGGGCGTGAACTCAGACCAGGTGTTGGCTCGGGTGATCATTGTGGGCCACAGGGAAAACAATTGGGATTTGCTGATGTGGTATCGCGTGTCAGTTATCTCCCAGGCGTCCGCGCTTGCCCTTCTGACAAACGCCATTTTCATTACGGTTTAGAATTTACGCAAAAAAATAGTTGAGACTTTCTTTGGAATATGCTGTTCGGAAGAACCTTCCCTCATAATCATACTTATTCATTTTTGTGAATATCAAAGCAGCTCTCATGCATCCAGAATATGGCGAAATGAAAAACTCAATCAGGGATGTAACGAGATCAAAATTCTAGCGTCGGTTCTTTTCAGTTCTCAGAAATCAATGATCCTCACGTACCTGGTCAACCAGATGCTTAAACTCAGTTCCCCATTTGTTCTACCTTTGATGTTTGTTTTGACTTTACTGGTGTCAATGAAACTAGAAACTTCATCCTGGTATTGGGGAGGCATTCTCCCTGGCTCCTTTGTTTTACGATGGGATTTTGAAAAGATCATTGTTAACCAAACCACTGACAGTTGTGTTCTCGAACGTAGGTATCATGTAAACCATACTTCATACCACTCCTGTCTAGTCAGACGAGGTAGACAAATACCTTAAAATCGCACCATATAATCTTATGAGTTCCAAATTTGAAATAATCTGCTCCAGCCTGGATATTCACTGAATTTACCTGATTTTTTGGCAGGGGATAGTTGGATTCATAGACCGGTTGAATTATCGGTCACTGTTGAGGGTGTAGAAGCTAGTATGACCCGAACGTGTCATGTTAGCATTATCAATATAGGATTCCGCCATGACCTTTGATCTGGGAGTGAGTTTTACACAGTGTTCCAAATCTCAAGGTCATATTTGTCACGTCGATTGTGGGTGATGTTCACTAACGAACTGCTCGATAGCTTGTTTGCATCATTTAAGAATGACACGTGGCTCGTCTGCGATTGGGCCTGAAAAATGATAATCATTGACACGGAAAAATGCGGGAATGGTTGGTGGAAGTAATGCGACTAAATTGGATCGATGCAAACGGTGGTTAGTGCCTTGATCTATCTGACAACCTTACGTATGAAAAAACAAAGTGAAAAACCAGTAAGGTCTCTGGGACGTGTATCCAAGTTAAAAAGTCCCCACTCATCCGGCATGCATGTCTACTTTGACCTATCAAGTGTTTTAAACATATGAATAATGCAAGAAAGTTTAAAATAGACAGAAAGTCCCATCACCTGTAAGGGCGTATAACAGAAAGTGACATTTGGTCATAAGATAAAGAGTGGTCTAGATGGTATTGTAATGGCCTTAGGAAAGAGGAGTTTGTATGCAGCAGTTGGAGTCGCCATGACTTCACGATGGTTTTGTGAGGGTTTTTCGGAAATACCGAATAGAAAGTAGATGAATTCGCACGTCAGAATTTTGTTAGTCCACATGACGATGTGGTTTCTCAAAACGGATGTGAAGATCCTAAGAGGTTCAGAAATAGCGCAGCGCACTTTTTTTCAACTGTCAACAACGCTGGAGTCCTTTGGCGTCCTGTCTTAGCGTTCCGCAGGGTTGTCAT